TCCATCGTCAATATTATAGAATCCATCGTCAAGTATTATAGAATCCATCGTCAATAATATAGAATCCATCGTCAATATTATAGAATCCATCGTCAATATTTAAAGAACCATCGTCAGTATTATAGATACGAATTCCATCGTCAATATTATAGAATCCATCGTCAATAATATAGAATCCATCGTCAAAAATTATAGAATCCATCGTCAATATTATAGAATCCATCGTCAATATTATAGAATCCATCGTCATAATATAGAACCCATCGTCAATATTAGAATCCATTGTCAATATTATAGAATCCATCGTCAATATTATAGAATCCATCGTCAATAATATAGAATCCATCGTCAATATTATAGAATCCATCGTCAATATTATAGAATCCATCGACAATAAAATAGAACCCATCGTCAATATTATAGAATCCATTGTCAATATTATAGAATCCATCGTCAATATTATAGAATCCATCGACAATAATATAGAACCCATCGTCAACATAGAATCCATCGTCAATAATATAGAATCCATCGTCAATAATATAGAATCCATCGACAATAATATAGAATCCATCGTCAATATTAGAATCCATCGTCAATATTATAGAATCCATCGTCAATAATATAGAACCCATCGTCAATATAGAATCCATCGTCAATAATATAGAATCCATCGTCAATAATTTTAAGAATCCATCGTCAATAATATAGAATCCATCGCCCAAAAATAGAATCCATCGTCAATATTATAGAATCCATCGTCAATATTATAGAATCCATCGTCAATAATTATAGAACCCATCGTCAATATTATAGAATCCATCGTCAATATTATAGAATCCATCGTCAATATTATAGAATCCATCGTCAATAATATAGAATCCATCGTCAATATTATAGAATCCATCGTCAATTTTATAGAATCCATCGTCAATAATATAGAATCCATCGTCAATATTATAGAATCCATCGTTAAAAATTATAGAATCCATCGTCAATATATAGAATCCATCGTCAAAAATTATAGAATCCATCGTCAATATATAGAATCCATCGTCAATTATTATAGAATCCATCGTCAATAATTATAGAATCCATCGTCAATATTACAGAATCTATCGTCAATATTATAGAATCCATTGACAATAATATAGAAACCATCGTCAATATAGAATCCATCGTCAATAATATAGAATCCATCGTCAATAATATAGAATCCATCGTCAATAATATAGAATCCATCGTCAATATTACAGAATCTATCGTCAATATTATAGAATCCATTGACAATAATATAGAAACCATCGTCAATATAGAATCCATCGTCAATAATATAGAATCCATCATCAATATTACAGAATCCATCGACAATAATATAGAACCCATCGTCAATATAGAATCCATCGTCAATATTATAGAATCCATCGTCAATATTATAGAAGCCATCGTCAATATTATAGAATCCATCGTCAATAATATAGAATCCATCGTCAATATTATAGAATCCATCGCTAATAATATAGAATCCATCGTCAATAATATAGAATCCATCGTCAATGTTATAGAATCCATCGTCAATAATATAGAATCCATCGTCAATATTATAGAATCCATCGTCAATATTATAGAATCCATCGTCAATATTATAGAATCCATCGTCAATATTATAGAATCCATCGTCAATATTATAGAATCCATCGTCAGTATTATAGAATCCATCGTCATATATAGAATCCATCGTCAGTAATATAGATCCATCGTCAATATATAGAATCCACGTCATATAGAATCCATCGTCAATATAGAATCTCTCAATATTATAGAATCCATCGTAAATTTTATAGATCCATCGTCAAGTTATAGAATCCATCGTCTAATATATAGAATCCATCGTCAATATTATAGAATCCATCGTCAATATTATAGTATCCATCGTTAATATAGAATCCATCGTCTATATTATAGAATCCATCGTTAATATAGAATCCATCGTCAATATTATAGAATCCATCGTCAATATTATAGAATCCATCGTCAATATTATGGAATCCATCGTTAATATTATAGAATCCATCGTTAATAATATAGAATCCATCGTCAATATTATAGAATCCATCGTCAATAATATAGAATCCATCGTCAATAATATAGAATCCATCATCAATATTATGGAATCCATCGTCTATATTATAGAATCCATCGTTAATATAGAATCCATCGTCAATATTATAGAATCCATCGTCAATATTATAGAATCCATCGTCAATATTATAGAATCCATCGTCAATATTATAGAATCCATCGTCAATATTATAGAATCCATCGTTAATAATATAGAATCCATCGTCAATATTATAGAATCCATCGTCAATAATATAGAATCCATCGTCAATATTATAGAATCCATCGTTAATAATATAGAATCCATCGTCAATATTATAGAATCCATCGTCAATAATATAGAATCCAAAGTCAATTATATAGAATTTATCGTCAATAATATAGAATCCATCGTCAATTATATAGAATCCATCGTCAATAATATAGAATCCATGACTCACGAAATCGTAATGACACGATTGCAAACAAACCATACCACGGGCGGGATTTGAACCCGCGGTCAGAGAGTCTCAAAACTCCAGACCGTCGCGTTAGCTAGAGTTCGTCACGGCCACGCTAGCTGGAGATTCGTCTGTGAAAACTTGCATTTGTGGTCACAGTGGTGCCTATGCTAACCTTCCTATGGTGTAGAAATATACCTAGTTGGACGAATCTTAAAAGCTAGCTGGCCCAGTGGCTAACGCGACGGTCTGGAGTTTTGAGGCTCTCTGACCGCGGGTTCATATCCCGCCCGTGGTATGGTTTTTACAAAATCCATCGTCAGTATTATAGAATCCATCGTCAATAATATAGAATCCATCGTCAATATTATAGAATCCATCGTCAATAATATAGAATCCATCGTCAATATTATAGAATCCATCGTCAATATTATAGAATCCATCGTCAGTAATATAGAATCCATCGTCAATATTATAGAATCCATCGTCAGTAATATAGAATCCATCGTCAATATTATAGAATCCATCGTCAGTAATATAGAATCCATCGTCAGTAATATAGAATCCATCGTCAATATTATAGAATCCATCGTCAATAATATAGAATCCATCGTCAATATTATAGAATCCATCGTCAATATTATAGAATCCATCGTCAATATTATAGAATCCATCGTCAATATTATAGAATCCATCGTCAGTAATATAGAATCCAACGTCAATATTATAGAATCCATCGTCAGTATTATAGAATCCATCGTCAATATTATAGAATCCATCGTCAATATTATAGAATCCATCGTCAGTAATATAGAATCCCAACGTCAATAATTATAGAATCCATCGTCAATATTATAGAATCCATCGTCAATATTATAGAATCCATCGTCAATATTATAGAATCCATCGTCAGTAATATAGAATCCAACGTCAATATTATAGAATCCATCGTCAGTAATATAGAATCCAACGTCAATATTATAGAATCCATCATCAGTATTTTGAAGACAATTGGAAGGAGCATTGTTTAGTTATTGAGTAAAAAAATTAAATTTGCTGTTTATTCAGTAATGACAAACTGAAACTTATGCCACCCAAGAGCAGAGTGTCAAAGCTCTGTATTCTGGAAACCACACCAGTGGTGAAAGTTTGATTTTATTTTAAGTTATTTTTTTAATTTTTTCTACATGAACAAATTTGTCAACACACACTAAACTTAATAGTTAATATCCTGACCCTAAGATGCATCAGCCATTAAATAATAAAGTATTTAGAAGATAAATAATTCACACTATTTTACACATAAAATCATTAAATCTGCTGTACCAACACTGCACCAACACTGCACCAACACTGTACCAACACTGCACCAACACTGCACCAACACTGCACCAACACCTTTTAGAAGGTTTGAAACTCTGTTACTGAGGATTTCCGAATGTTATTCAAGGCATTCCAGGTGTGTAGAATAGAGTGTCTGTGGGAATGATTGATTAGGTTAGTGAGCCTAGTCAAGCCATTTATGGATTTTAGCCCAGAAACTTCCCATCCTATTTCTTTGCCCGAATTTATTTCTTACCTCTAGTTACACACATTCAGTTGTGTTGAAATGGATGCAACTGTTGATCTCTGGTGGAGGGATGCGGCAGGCCCCCCACACAGGTTCCCAAAGTACAAGGACTTGAGGTACTTACGTGGAGCGTGGGGGTCGCTTGAGGCCGTGGACACCTGAGATACCTGTACAAGACATGTGTAACCGCCTGGTACAGTATCAAGATAGTCGTTATCGTAGTGAAATATTATCTAATTCGGGTTGTAATGTGCTATCGAATGTTAGAGTACTTCACTGCACAAGACCTGCCATAGGATAAGTCGTTCTAACACTAGGCTGTTAATAAACTGACGCTTCAGTAAAGTCTCGTTCACTCGCCTGGTCACCAGCTCTAGTGTCGTGTGTGACTAGTTGCAGTAGGCAGCTCCTGCATACCCAATGGCACTCGCCGTACAAGTGCCCACTGCTGACAACTGTGTAGGTTGTGAGAAGTGATGTAGTTACTAAACTAAATTATTCTATGTGTAACTAGCTTAACTTAAATAAAAGAGTGTGGAACCCCCAAGTAGACAGGTTTTAATAGTTAGGGAGGTTTTTAATGATTTGGGAAATCAAAGACTGCACGATTTTGCACGCCAGGATGCCGGAAATAGGTTCAACATCTTTGGTCATGGGACACTTGAACATACTAGTTTCTCCAAGAATTTGGGCCTTCTTACCGTAAACAAGCGTTGAAAATATAAAGCTGAGAGGAAGAGGCGTTCTAGAGTTATGAGCAAAATAAAATCGAAAAGTTAAAGGACGATAAAAAAAAAAAAAAAGAATGGAAAATAATTCAGACAATCTCTTAAAGGTATCCTTTCGAGGATACCAAATATATGACTAACCTCTTGATCCCGTAGATGTAACTGATGCCGAGACACTCGAAGAGGCCGATCACCAGGAGAGGAATGTTGCCAGCAAAGGCATCGAAGAGTTGAAAGACATAGTTGCCAGCCCCGTGAGTGAAGATGAGGGAGATGATGAAGCAGAGGCAGCACACCAACCCTGCACGAGGTGGCAACACTGCTCTTACTACCAACAATAATGGTTTTATTTATCATTTAAATTAATGGTAACTCTCTACTTCCACTACCGTCTCAAGTATTTATCTTCTGTATTATATTAAAAAACACCGGTGGGCAAAACGTCTCCAGTATTTATTCTCTAAACTGAACTGAAAAAAAAAACATTGGCAAAACTTCTACATCAATAAAAATATCCAGGTGTTACACGTGTGTCTTGTGATGGAAATGATTTAGAAAACCAACACACTGAAGAATGAGACACATGTGCAACATTTGGGAATCTTTATTACGAAACGTTTAACCAGCCAGTTGCTTCTTCAGTCCAGTACACAGAAGAACTGTGGAATATGAGGGACTGATAACTTCATACTCCTCCTCATTTTCCACCGTTTTTGTCTATATTAGACTGAAGAAGCCTCTGGCTGGCGAAGTTTCCTCAATAAAGATTCCCCAATATTGCAGAGGTGACACATTCTTCAACAAGTGTCTTATTTATTCTTTAACTGAAATATTGTTTCACTTATTAATATACAATTTTATTAACGTTCCTGAGAGTGGCTGTCTTTATCTGCTAAGTTAAGTTCTTACAGGTCTTGTTGCTGCATTATTTACCGATTATCATTGTATAACCACTATCAACAAAGAGAGAGAGAGAGAGAGAGAGAGAGAGAGAGAGAGAGAGAGAGAGAGAGAGAGAGAGAGTAACCTAGGCTGTGTCACGTGGCTTATTCAGCTGCAGTAATCAAGGTCCGAGTTAAAACCTTAAAACGATGAGGTTTAACATGCACTAATATAACATCCACCTCCCACTTGTCTGCCTAACGTTATGTACCCACCACTCACCTGCTCCACAATGATCATGTCATAATGAATCACTTTGCATTCTGGAAGCAAACTCAAATATAAATGAAAAAAAAAAAAAAGGTTGATAAACTCCCTTTCCATGATTCGGCAAATAGTACAAACCTTATTACGAACATCTCAGGAAAGGGACAGCACATGTGGCTAAGCAACTTGATTAATAAAGCTTCTTGTAATGATGGAAGCATTAGTACGTTTATTTAGGTATAAGTATGCATAAGTACAATTATCATACATGGCGTAAAATACCTTGGTACTTTTAGCATGGACTTGCCACGGGTCAGGTCCTGCCCATTTTAGCTGTGATGAAAATATTTAGGTAAAGTATATAGAAAAGTTAAGCACTCGAGCAGAAACTAAACTATTTTACATCTCATGATCAGTAAGTGAAAGTTTATATTATTGTCTTGTTTCTTATTGTGTATGTATTAATGTTCTTTTTTTTACGACTGATGAGGTATGAAAAACTCGTGGAACGTTTTTATGTATTTACAGTGGTTCATTTAAAAAAAAAATAATTTTGCTGCCAGAGAATTATTCTATACATTGTGAATTCATATATTAAAAGACTGATAAATACTTAAAACCAACATATAATGAAAAAACTAAAAGAAGTCAAAGAGTTGTGTAAAAGGACGCTCAATACTGTGGCCTAAATATTATAACACTAAAATAGTGACCAGATTAAACCAAAGAACAGTGTTGACGATGGTGTGTTTTTGCATGGCAAGAAAGGTCCAGAAAAGAATATATGCATAAGAAACGGGAAATAAATAGTGTACATGAACACAAGAGCAGTGTTGTGTTCTGTCATGCACTCGACTGTCATAATCATAATGTAGATTGTGACACATGCAAACTATTATTCAGAGCTGATAACTTTATGCCAACCCATATCGAATCGGATCTAAATATTAAACTAAAGGACAATTTAAATTTTGTACACGATTATTTGCATCCAAGTTAGTGGTAAAATTTACAAAGCGTTTAGTAATGATGATGCTGGTGGACAACAAATCAATATAGGTCTGATCATACCGTTTTGTGACGAGATCAGTGAAGGTCAGATCTTACCTCATCGTGGCGATGATTATCTAGCAGTGAGATCGGTAATTTATCACTGCAAATAATGGTTTTCAACTGTATTATTGCAGCATTTAAATGAGGTGAAATTTGACTTGTACTAGCATTCTTTTGAGAAATGGAATTTATCCACAGTGGATAATATAATTTTTTTTTTTTTTGCTAGATATGGAAATGTGTTTTTCCTGGAGCTGTAATATTTGTGTACCTGAGAGTGCCTCCTTCCGGAGCTGAGGCAGGACCTTGAGGTCGATGAGGGAGGAGATGACGCCCTCGAGGGTGCCAAACTGGGAGTCGGCACCCAGGGTGAAGAGCATCAGGAAAAAGAGGATGGCCCACAGCGGCGGGAAGGGGAACTGGTTAATGGCCTCCGTGAAGACAATGAAGGCTAGACCAGTCCCCGCTGCTGACTGGTGAGAGGAGACACGGGGTGAGGGACGACCATGTCAGTGACCAGTCAGAGGGAAGATAAGGAAGATGGTGTTCCCTTATGGAAGATAGTGTTCCCCTCATACATTGTCATAGGGAGAGCCATAACTAAAGTTGATGCTTTCTCATACACACCTCTAAAGTTAGTAGTAAACAATACTGGTCTACCCTCAAAGTTACTAGTAAATAATACTGGTCCACCTTCAAAGTTACTAGTAAATAATACTGGTTCACCTTCAAAGTTACTAGTAAATAATACTGGTTCACCTTCAAAGTTACTAGTAAATAACATTGGTTCACCGCTAAATTTACCATTTACGGTAAACAATACCGGTGGATCTCTATAGTATATGACAAACAATGCTGGTGCACCTCTAAAGTTATTGTATGAGAAACAATACTAATAACTTTAGAGGTGCATCATCATTGCTCCCCATGCTAGTAACTTCAGAGTTAGAGATGCATCGGTATTGTATATTGTCCTATTAACTTTATGGGTGCACCAATATTTTGTACCATACTGCTATATTTTGAGGTGCATCAGTATTGGTTTACCATTCTCGTGCACCTGTAGTTACATTTCATTTGCAGTAACTCTGCACACAGGTTATATTAACACTCTCAACATTTTAAGAATTAGCCTCATGGTCACATATATAGTCTTTCTCTCGCACTTTCCTGACGGAGAACCAAGCTTCCACCAGCCCCTTGCTGAGAAGGACCACACCGGATTGCCAGATCACATTAATAATAATAATAATAATAATAATAATAATAATATGCTTCAAGGTTTCATTAACAAGCACCCGCCTTCCTGTGTTCTGTGGATTTTTTTTTTTATAATTTTCCTAAATTTGGAGTATATAAATGTAAACAGATAATAATGTGAGTAAAATTGTGACTCTGATAGACCTAGAAATTACGAGTGAAGGTTGGGTGCGCAGTGACCGCGGAGTGATACGGGGAGAGACGCTGACAATATGGCGATGTATTACTGTAAAGTGTCATTGAGGCCGAAAAATGGATTTATCGGTTGGAATCAAGAATGAGAAATTTCTTTAACATCATCAACAAAGAAATATGGATAAATATAGGGAAAAAACAGCTATAATAAGGCTGCACGAATAAAAAAATAAGAGGACAAGAGATCTCCAGGGATCCACATCAGCTGTTAAGTGCACCTTCTCTCTCAGTAGTCTGCAGGGGTTGGCCAACTGTCTGTTAGGCATTGTTTAGGGAGGTGTTAGGAGGTGTTTTACCCATAAATACTGAATGTTTATATAACTGGTGAATAAATAAAAATGTTACATAATAGTAGCAAACATGGTGGACCCAACAATGTTCCCTGAGTCAGGTCATTATTCATTTCTTATACAATCCATACCTTTTAATTTACCAGAGTTACTGGTTTTATTAAATGTTAATTCAATTACTGATAGGTCCAACTTTGTGTGAGGGAGGTTTGAAGTGAGTGGGCATCGAAGGAGGTGCAGTGTTGTGACCTTCTGTAAGTCCCACCTAGCTCTGAGGTACAACTATCAACAGTAAGTGAAATGTTTATTTTAGTTGTACCTGGCCAAAATTATGTGCATGTAAGAATTCAAGTTAATGCCTGTGAACCATGTACATAATTTCTCACAAGTTCATCTTGGATGTCACAAGGACCTACATTACTGAGTTTCTCTTGGATGTCTCAAGGACCATAACTTCCTGAATTCATCTTAGATATGTCAAGGACCTTTTTCTTGAGATACACTTGGGTGTCAGAATAACCTACTTCACGTTCCTCTTGGATGTCATAAGTACCTACCTTCTTGACTTCCTCTTGGATGTCACAGGAACTTGCACCCTTAAGTTCCTTGAGGACGATAGTGATTTTTTTTTTTAGGTAGCTTGTGTTCCTCGTGGATGTTATAATGAGTTCCTCTTTGACATTACAGTGACTTAATTTCTTGACTTCCTCGTGGATGTCCCAAGAATCTACCTTCTTGAGTTCCTCTTGGATGTTTGAGAGAGACTTCCGAGTTCCTCTTGGATGTTTGATAGACCTTCCTGAGTTCGTCTTGAATGTCTGATAGACCTTCCTGAGTTCGTCTTGAATGTCTGACAGACCTTCCTGAGTTCCTCTTGAATGTCTAATAGACCTTCCTGAGTTCCTCTTGAATGTTTGATAGACCTTCCTGAGTTCCTTTTGGACCTCACACCGACCTACCTTCTTCAGTTCTTCTTAACCACACAATAACCCACCTTCATGAATTCCTCCTGGACGTCACAAGGACCCACCTTCTTGAGTTCCTCATTGATGTCACAGAGTGGAAGAGAGATGTTGCGCCGAGCGAGAAGATCATACAGCTCAGCACCAGGAACTGTCTCGTTGAGGGAGGCCACTGTGATGTTCCTCTCCGCCAGGCACCTGTCGTGCGTCTGATGAGCCTTGAACCCTGTCAAGACCAACACTGAGATGAGAGGGAAGCAGAGGGTAGTAGAGGTGTGTGTGTGTATGTGTGTGTGTGTGTGTGTGTGTGTGTGTGTGTGTGTGTGTGTGTGTGTGTGTGTGTGTGTGTGTGTGTGTGTGACTATGCGGTTTTCGTTGAGGCTATCTACTGAGAAATACTTGACTAGTGTGTAAGAACTAATGTTTACCCGAAAGTGCTGGGTATAGTAAAACAGAAGGCTCTCTCCTTCCTCTTCACTTCCTACTGACAGACGTACTGTTAAATGTGCACAAAGGTATAACAGGAATTTAATATGAAGCAGTTTAGGTGAGCACATGCCATTTCCTCATGGCCTATATTGTGTTTGTGTGTGACATCAGAGTACAATCCGTTCCAGTGCTCTCCAGGGCCGGAATTACTGTGAAACAAAGGAAGCTTAAAGCTTCAGGGCTTCTAATGCCGGAGGAGCCCCAGAAGCCGCTTTAGTACACATTGCCTAAAAAGCCTGTGTCTACTATATAATATAGGGTTGCGAAGGGGCCCCCATAACATGTTTGTTCAAGCTTCAGGGCCACAAAAATGTGGGTCCGCCACTGGCTCTAACACTACTAACCCCCCTCCCCCCAAAAAAAAAGGATATTTGCACTGTACTTCGTAACGCTTACCTGCATGTTATCTAACTGCACATCCAGCAATTTTTGTTTGAATGTATTAAGTTCGCTTATTATAGCTAAGGTTTAAGCCAGGTCTTATGGCCTAGGCTTCCAGAGTAACAGCTTCATCCAAGCGTTTCGGCCTTACTCGTCTCTCTCTCCTTCCTTCTCTTGTTGTTGTAGCTATTGCAAATTGCTGGACCAAAATTGCAGGGAGCATTTCCGGAAGTGTGACAGGCTCAATGCAGTCAGTAGTTAATAATTAATGATCTTTCCATTCCATTGATTTTATTCCACTGATCGTCTTACGGTGCTCCACATATTATACTACTTACTATTCCACTGATCTTAATGAACAAAAATGCTTAATGCCGTAATTTGAACAATACACAAATAAACACCAGATAGGAGAGAGAAGCTTACAACAGAGTTTCGTTCCAACTTGGACCATTTACAAGGTCGCACTAAAAGAAAGGATAGAGGGAGCCAATATATATAGGCGAGGGCGATAGGGAGAAGAACAAGAGACGAAAAAGTAGTTGTGGTAGTGCTAAGGCTGGAAGTTGAAGTATTAGTAGAAGTAACAATGGTACTAAAAGGTAGAGTAGTGGCACAGGAGAGGAAAGGGGCGTGAAGGGTGAAGGAAGGCAATAGTAATAGTAGTAGCAATAGTAGAAATGGAGTGGTAGACGTAATAGAAATGCGGTCAGTCTAAGCACAAGAAAAATGAGCACTGAAGGAGAACAAGGGACCCACAAGGAGTTGGACCAAAAACACAAGGGGGTTAGGGACTGGAGGACAGACACACTAGACAGAAGAAAGGAAAACAAAAAAAAAAGAATAGGAAAAGAGAAATAGGGAGAAGAGAAGAAAGGATAAGTCATGAATGTTCTGAAGTTTGGAACATTTGACAATGTAATGAGAAAAGAAAGCATCTACAGAGACAAAACCAGAGCTAAGTTTCATACAAGGAAAGTTGTGTATAAGTGATGCATCAACAAGACGGCGACGGTGAAGGATAGAAGTATGGTAGACAATTTTAGCAGAGGACCAGTGAATAGGATGACTGTGATCTCTAACATGACAGAAAAGAACGTTATTGATGTCGGCAAGTCTAACATATCTTTTGTGTTCTTTAAGTTTGTCGGAAAGAGAGCGGCCAGTTTGTGCAAAGTATTAAAGAGGACAAGAGGAGCAGGAAATAAAATAGACACCGGAAGCATCAGTAGCAGAAGGAAAGGTACGAACTAGATTATTGCGAAGGGTGTTAGTTTGGCGAAAAGTAAGTTTGATCTCTAAGGAACGGAAATATAGGTAAGGCAGAGAACAAGAGATTTCACAGGAGCAGAGAATTTGGCAGAAGAAAGTCCGTCTACCATGTGAGACGGCAAAGTTTATGTAAACCGGAAAGGTAGCCAAGACAAGAGAACGAATTACTAAGAGTGGAAATTTCCGAGTCAAGGAACTGAGGGTCACAAATGTAGAGGATGCGGAAAAAAGGAGAAATACCACGCTCACTCTGTCGTGAAAAGTGTTGTTAAGAAAAGTAGTGATGTACATGTCACTGTCCAGAGGTTCGCAATAAACGGGAAAAGAAAAGACTGTAGCCGAGTAGCGGACATGTACATCAAGGAAAGGGAGGAAAGAGTTAGATTCTCATTCAGCTTTAAACTTGATGGAATTGGCAGATTATTAACGGCATCGAGTAAAGGTTGGAAGAGACTAGAGTTATGTGGCCAAAGAGCAATGATGTCATCTACATAGCGGAGCCAGAGTGACGGGAGCACATCAATAGTAGGAAGAAGAACAGTTTCAAAGTATTCCATATGAAGGTTAGCAAGAACAGGAGATAGATGAGAACCCATAGCGACACCGAAGGTTTGAGAAATTTGCCTTGAGAGGAAAACGAGATGGAGTTTACTCAAAGGTGAATAAGATCAAGAAAAACATTAGTTGGTATAGAGAGATGAAGTAAGCCATCATTGACCTTCTCTTTGAGAAAATTAAGAACATCAAGAGGGACATTAGTGAAGAGAGACTCAACGTCAAGACTAAAAATCTTACAGGTCGGGAGAGAGCGAACACATCCCATGAAGTCTTGAGAGTGACGGAGGTGACCTGGAAAAAAGTACCAAAAAAAGGAGTGAGAGTTTTGGCTAACCAAGAGGTAAGAAAATAGACAGAACCTCTTCAGGAAATGATGGGACGTAAAGAGCTATGACCATAATTTTTGAAGGGGTTGATTGGTAAGCCAGCGGAAGACCTCGGTCAGATGGCCAAAAACTCCAACAGCGGGTCATCATCTGATTAACTCCCGCGTCAGGAAACACTTGTCCTGTTTCCTGACGAACCTTACCTGACCCAGATATCAGGGTTATGAGTTTTACGATAACCATAGAAATAAGAACATGAGAAAGAAGGAACACTGCAACAGGCCTACAGACCCATGTGAAGCAGGTCCATGTACCCCCCCGGATTAGCCCAATCACCCACCCAGTCTGGTCACCTCCACTCAAGGATGGAGCATGGCACCAGACCCAGCAGCACAAGCTAGTCAGGTTCAACTCACACCCACCCACACCAACTCATGTATTTATCTAACCTATTTTTAAAACTACACAACGTTTTAGCCTGAATAACTGTACTCGGGAGTTTGTTCCACTCATCCACAACTCTATTACCAAACCAGTGCTTTCCTATATCCTTCCTGAATCTGAATTTTTCCAACTTGAAACCATTGCTGCGAGTCCTGTCTTGGCTGGAAATTTTCAGCACGCTATTTACATCCCCTTTATTCCTGTTTTCCATTTATACACCTCGATCATATCCCCCCTAATTCTACGCCTTTCGAGAGAGTGCAGATTCAGGGCCTTCAGTCTATCCTCATATGGAAGATTTCTGATACATGGGATCATCTTTGTCATCCTCCTCTGTACGTTTTCCAGAGCATTTATATCCATTCTGTAATACGTTGACCAGAACTGAGCAGCATAGTCTAAATGAGACCTAACCAAGGATATACAGAGTTGAAGAACAACCTGAGGACTTCTATTATTTACACTTCTAGATATGAAACCAAGAATTCTGTTAGCTTTATTGCAAACACTAATGCACTGTTGTCTTGGTTTTAGATTACTGCTAACCAGAACTCCTAAATCCTTTTCGCAATCAGTAGTATTAAGATCTACATTATTTGGTTTATATGTGGCATGGTTATTTAACTGTCCAACATATAGAACTTTGCATTTGTCAATATTAAACTGCATCTGCCACTTCTCCGACCATTGCATCAGTCTATTCAAATCATCCTGGAGTGCTCTAGTGTCCTCATTAGAATGAATTGGATGGCCTATTTTGGTGTCAGCAAATTTGCTTAAGTTGCTATTTATTCCCTCATCTATGTCGTTTATGTAAATTGTGAACAACAACGGGCCCAGCACTGACCCCTGAGGAACACCGCTTGTGACGTGCCTCCATTCTGATTTCTCCCCATTTATGCAAACACTCTGCTGCCTATTTGTCAGCCATGCCTCTACCCAGGAAAAAATTTCTCATCCTATTCCGTGTGCCTTAAGTTTCCTCAATAGCTTCTGATGTGGAACTCTATCGAAAGCCTTACTGAAGTCCATATACACAATATCATATTCATTACCATGATCTACCTCCTCAAGCACCTTAGTGAAAAAAAGTTAGTAAATTCGTAAGATAGGAACTCCCCTTTGTAAAACCGTGTTGAGATTCATTAATCAATCTGTGCCTATCAAGATGGCGACGAATTGCTTCGGCAATTATTGATTCCATAAATTTTCCCACTATGGAGGTAAGGCTTATTGGCCTATAGTTCTAAGCCAAGGACCTGTCACCTGCCTTGTAAATAGGTATTACATTTGCCATTTTCCACTTATCAGGCACTATGCCAGTTTGCAGTGATATGTTAAAAAGATTAGCCAAAGGTATGCTAAGTTCCTCTTTACATTCCTTTAACACCCTTGAAAACAGTTCATCAGGGCCTGGGGATTTGTTAGGTTTTAGTTTCTCTATTTGTAAGAGGACCATGTCACTAGTTACTGCAATCGTACATAGTTTATTATCCTGTTCTACATAAACTATTATTTCAGGAATATCGCTATTATTTTCCTGGGTGAAAACTGAGAGGAAGTAGGTATTGAGAATTTCACACATATCCTTATCACTGTCAGTGGTCTGACCAGAGTTACTCTTAAGGGGGCCAATCTTGTCCCTAATCTTGCTTCTGTATACCTGAAAGAACCCTTTTGGGTTAGTCTTTGAATCCCTTGCAAAACTAGCCTCATAATCCTTTTTTGCTTTTCTTATTCCTTTCTTTATTTCTCT